TGAAACAATCTTTCATTTCTCCAAACTATTTTTCTACTTAAATATAATAGTTTTACATTACACTAGAGGCCCAATGCACAAATTTGAACACTGGTGGGGGCCCTCGGCCTGGCTTGTGGGGATCAATGGACCTCCATGCCACCGGAGTCCGGCCTTACCCACCAGCTCCGCAGGCTCCAGTCTGCTGTCTGCTTAGATCCCGCACAGCATGAAGTCGTGTGGGAAGTGGCTGGTGGCCGGGGAGGAGCCCGAGCCCAGGTGGGCGCTGTGCTGCTCCTGCTCATCTGGCCCCACTGTGCCTGCCGCCCCTTCTCGGGCACGCAGGGCGAGTGTCCACGGGAGAGGCTTGTGCTGCTGCAGCTGCATTCACCAGCCCGTAAGCCAGGCACCTGGTGCCCGTTTGCAGGCTGAGCAGTGCTCCCACTGTGGGAGTGCACTGACCACCAGGAGGCAGCTCCTGGGTTGGCCATCTGTCCCCTGGTGGTCAGTGCGCATCATAGCTACCAGCCGGTTGTCCGGTTGTCTGGTTGCTTAGGCTTTTATATATAGAGAGAGATTATTCAATAAAAGGAAATTTGGAACAAAGGAGAAATGCTAGGGACAAAAGAACTCAGAAATACTTTTAAATCAGACAGTTTGAACCTAGAACCACACTGTATTGCTTCCCAGTGTGAGATGAATGTGCTTCTGAGCATGCATGGAAGCATTAGCAGGAATAATTGAGGTCTAATGTCACAATCCTCCTTTAAGTCAGAGCACTCACAAACCAACCGTTACAGCTGTAATATCCAAAGGCCTGATGTTGTCCCACAAGATGCAGTGCAAAATACCCTATCACACAAGGTGCTCAAAATACAGTCACTGCTGCAAAAGAGATAACTGTGCATTCATGTTTATTTTTCCTCTAGCTTTCAGCCTGGCCTTTAGAGACTTCAGCAAGAGGTAATATGGATTCAACAAGCAAATCTTCTAACCAATAAGTTAATTCACTTGAAAGTCATTCTTTAAAAAATACCAGTAGTGTATATGTTGAGGGGGAAAAGGATGTTCACTTTCAAACCAGTGCACCCATTTGGTATGGCATTCAGATAGATGCCCAATGCTCCAGTTTCTTGAGTGGATTGTTATCTATAAAAATATTAAGGTGACTATTGATATTATAAATGCCCCCTCAATCTATAGCTTAAATACACATGTAACAGATAACTATTTGCAGACTGTAACCATCCACCAGTGATGTTTTCAAGTCAATGGAAACACAAGAGGGGGGGAGGGGACTACCAAGGAAGTAAACCTAAGTGGTTGTAAGTAAATCTAAGAATATCAGTAATTGTATAGATTCAAATAAGACTTACTCCTATCTTGAGGATATCATGCCAAAAATAATACAAAATGAGTCATTGATTCATTCCAAGAAAACAGAAATAGTTCAAAGAGATCAAGTTAATACCCTTGGAGGTTATAAACAATATCTCACAACATGGAAAACTAGTGAAGTTCCTGTGAGACCATGACTTATGCCTTTGTGAATTTATGTCAAATCTAAAACTAGACTGAGCATTTATTTTTTATACCAACTAATTTGAAAAATGCAATAGAAAGAAGAAAGGATTATTTCTTAAATATAACTGTTAAAATATCTTTTTAAGTGCATACCTAGAGGTTACACTTCTAGGTATGATATATGATGGAAAAGATTAAAAATGCCGTTTATAAGAAAATTATCCTAAAAACATTATAGGTAATAATCCTATTATCTATCTATAAATAATGTAAACAGAAGCTGTCAAAATGACTCATTATCTACTCTAATTTATATCCACCATGAGCTTATTGCCAGTTACACAATGATGTGCTTAATTCCTGACTTTGGTTAGGAAAGTCAAATGTAACCCTGTAGGCATTATCAGCACCGACATATAGCCCATCATATAGAGTAAAATGAAGCAAAATTATATTTAAGTAACATTAAATTTCTTGACTCATCTGCATTCAAATTCCAAATCTCTCTATATTTTCAGCCAACCTAAAAAAAAAGAGCTACAATTAAAATCCTATTTATTGTTTTTCTATCATTTAGAACTGACAAATATGTGAAAGGTGAAACTCTCTCCTTATATATCATATAATGTATATTATGAGAAAGTCATTTATATATACTAGTAGATACTTTAACTAATTCACAACCTTATTTAAAAGTATATCTTATAAATACGCCATGTTATTTCTAACAGAAAAAGCAGTGGAAGTTTTTTTACCTTAACCAAAGGGGTATTTGATTTTGTAGGGCCAGAAGTATATACAATTTTGCTGATTTTCTTCAAGAAAATTAATACATAATTCCTAATGCAAAATTAGGTACATGCAAAATTGGAAGGGGCATGTGTAAGTGAGCGGCACTGAAGCTTAAGTTTCATTAGCTTCTCAGGATGTCCACCTATGTGCAGCAGGCACTGAATTTTTAATATTTCTCTCACTACACTGCATAATAAATTACACCAAAATATTGTTACCTCCAATCATTTACTACTTTCATTTCCTGCCACTCTGAACTTCAGTTTTCTATCTTTTCATAGCATATACCTCAATAAGAAATCAACTATAGGTCAAAAATGCCCCCTTTCTTAGTTATCATTACATTTGTCTGCTAATAGAGATAAAATATTGATTTTCCTGAAGACTGATTACAGTGCATGGAGAATTCCATTGAGTGATACAATGGAATGTTAACCATCTGTTGATATTTTAAACTAGAGGCCTGGTGCATGAATTCGTTTACCAGTGGGGTCCCTCAGCCTGGCCTGCAGGATTGGGCTGAAACTGGCTCTCTGACATCTCCTGAGGGGTCCCAGATTGCAAGAGGGTACAGGCCGAGGGACCCCACCAGTTGGGCTGGGAGGGACGCAGGAGGTTGGCCAGCTGGGAGGGACTGGAGGAGGGCTCCAGGGCATGTCTGGCCAGTCTCATTCAGTTCCAATCCGCCAGACCCCAGCAGCAAGCTAACCTACTGGTTCGAGTGCCTGCCCCCTGGTGATCAGTGCACATCATAGTGAGCAATTGAGTGGCCTTAGCATATCATTAGCATATTACGCTTTGATTGGTTGTATGAACAACCGGATGACCAGATACTTAGCATATTAGGCTTTTATTATATAGGATGGCAATTGGGGAAATAATTTTACCAGACACATAAGACAATCTGGAAATTTTTTTCAATGTAGTTGTTTTAGTGTTAGATAAACTGTCATGCATTTCTACCATATCCTAATAATTGTCCTAGTTTTGTGCCAGCGGGGCTGGGGGGAGATACTGTACAAGCACATAGCACGTGTGTGTGCACACACCTAACATTTATGTGTGGTCTAGAGTCAGCCACCTTTCCTAGGATATGATACAATTGTGAAGAACAATTATGAATATTGACTCCCCAACCACAGAAAACATGTTTTGTCATGATTAGCCTAAAAATAAGTTAAAGTTTCATAATCTCCATTATTTTCTTTAAAAATTACTGACTGACTTTCTGTCTGGTTAAAATGGTATTACAATGGTATTAGAAATTTAGTAAGGAAAACTCATTTTGATATGATGAAAGAATAATGAATATGTATTCTATTTAGCCAGTTCAATGGTATATTTAAAGAGAAATTAGAACCCAGAATAAACAAATAAATAAAATGCAGAGACCTACCTGTTGCTATAAGAACATTAACCTCAGGAATAATCAAGAACCACACAAACCTCTCTCCATGAGACTCTACCTTTTTTCTCATTACATAAAAATCCAAGAAGAGTTTCCTGGTTTAGATTATATGGGCCTAGATCGCAATACCTCCAGCAACAATATAGTGGGAAGAGATATGGCTAAATGGATATAGGAAGTAGAGACTACACATCAGCTTTGAAAACCCTATGAATTCACTTATAGACCCAAACAGTAGGTTTGTTTAAGAAATGTCAATCTTGGATATATTTTAAATGTTATCAAGAGAAAAAAATTGAAATTTGTGAATTGGAATTGTCTCAAATTATGAAATATCATTACTACTTTGTCAATTGTCTGTGGGCTCTACATCTTCTCTGAATGATTTTAACCAGTGTAATTCTTTTCAAAAATTCTTATTTTCAAATGGACAAAAATTAAAGGATGAAACATAACTCTGGCTATGATGAACTACTTAACCTTAGATGTGTGTAAATAACAGTTAACAAATGTCATCATGATATTACTATCATTAGAAAATTGCACAATAGCTTCTGAACCTAGCATAATAACACCTGTCTGGATATACACATGCATGCACAATTTCTATTTCTTTTAGTGAGTCTGTTACCAGTTCTCTCTTTTGCAGATTAAATGATAATTAAGGTGAACAAATTATTGACAAAACCTAGATATAGAAGTGGAAAAATTTTTAAAACATCAGTTGTGAATCTTATTAGCAGTGGCATTTCTTCCTCAATTTTTATGTAAATATATGTCATTTCCTAATTGATCTGCACAGTTTTATCTGGAGATATTTTAACAATATAAAATACAATTAGGAAATGTAGAACCTGTCAAAATTCATCACCATGTAAAAATAACTATAAACTAAAAATATTGTCCAGAATTGCTATCATTGCACATAGATATGATTATAGGGTTAAGTATAATATTTTGGGCATTTTCTTTCTTGGTGATTTCTGTTTTAACATTGGTATTTTAATTTGAAGATTTGAAAATGCACATATTTAGATATATTTATCAAGGGCAAGTTATTTGTGAAACAGGTAATGGTGCTTAAAAGGATTTAATACCAAATTGACTATTGCTTTGCTGTAAGAAGGATGTTACTTACATCCTTTCCTGATCAAATGGGCTGCCATGAAAACAAAATGTCAGACAACCACAAAGCTTCTTGATGAGGAGTGAAGAAAATATATCCCAACATATTAAGTTCTCAAAGATTTTTATACAAACATTATTCCTGAATTTGTAAACAATAGCTCCTAGAAGCTCTTCTTTAATGTATTTATTAAAGTTAGGCATACCCCCTCTGTCCTTTGTTCACAATGCTGTTAGTATTAACCCTTAAAAGATGAATGACATCTAAGTTGGCACCAAAGGGGAAGCAATGCAATGCCCATGTAACATAAATTTCTTTCTTTCCTCTGTCCATAGTGTTGACGTACGCTTTTTTTGTTCTTTCTCTAGAAGAATAGAAAACACTTTTCACAGTATGGCCTTCTATAGTAGGTAAAAAATGTTTTTACAAAACCTATATATACAGAAAACACCTCAGTCTTCAATTTGAAGTTTCTTAGCCATGATATGTTACAGAGAAAGACCACTGAGGTAATTGTCCATCCCGTAGTCTTTTCCCCTCACCTCAACAGGTAGGTATCAGGGACACAAGAATCACGTGAACTCATGGTAGAGCTGCATATCAGCTTTCTACAATTACATGGAGTTATAACTAAATTTCTTAGAAACCAGTTTGAATACATTAAAAGATCTGAATAAAAATGACTGACTCCTTTATTCCATCACCAAAGCCGCAGTTCCTCTGGATTTTCATAAAATGAAGTGAATGTCCATACTTTGTTTCAGCCCTTTGGGCAGAAACAAAGCCAAGGATAGATTGCCAAGATTTCAAATGCATTAATTTATAATTTATGACAATCTTCTTCTGGTACAACTTCCAGTATTATTTGTAATGTTCTGGTTATTCTGCCTACAAAGAAATAATGAAGAAAAATTAAAAATGTACAGAAATCAGAAATACATTAAAAAACAGAAAAATGTGAATTATTTGGGAATACTGAAAACACACAACTATTTCATAGAGCACTTACAAGAATTATTTACTTCATTAGAATCCTATCATGCTCAATTAATGCATGTCACTTCTATAACTTCCCATGATGACGTCTCAGAAGAATATGTTAATATTTTCTATTAAAATAAGGACTTTTATTTATGAATCGGGAGGCTGAAAATATTCTGAGACAATAGGATCAAGATGTAAATAACTGTTCAAAAACACATTTCATATTCAGTTTTAAATTGCTTTGTTTTTGTACCTATGAGATTACAATCAATTCCTCAGCAAAATCAAGAGAAGAATCAGAATAAAATTTCCAGTCTCAAACTTGTAGTGTATTATTGAGCAAAACATTTCATCTCCCAGGACCTCATTTGCCTCATCTATAGGAATGAGGGACTTGGGAGTGACATCAGCAAGCTAAAAGGCTAGGAGGTCCCAATGCTCATCACCGCCTTAAGAAAACAAGGACAATAAATAGCTACAAATGGAAGAAAATAGCTCAGGAAAAGCTCTAGAGTCTAGACAACAACAAAAATGCAGCAAAAACCTGGCAGAGCTCAGAAATCAAGGATTGCCACATAGTTAAGTAAGAAAAGTATTTTGCCTACATCATTGCATCCCCCAGCCAGACATCTAAGAAAGTTCCCAGAGAAAGAGAGCAGGAGAACCCCAGCAAACCACACCAGTGTGGACATTTGCAACTTTTGCTAGAGAGGTCTCCCACAGTCTTGAACATGCTGATCCCCTGATGGAGCAGCCTGGAGCGCCCCCACCTCTGAATCTATTCTCAGATCCTGGAGCTGTTGCTGAAGTGAGATGGCCTCAGCTTCCCTGGTTGCTGTGCCCCATTCTCAGGGACTGGGTGCCACAGCATCTTACCATACACAAGACCTGAGCTGCCACTTCTCTTTGCCCAACTGGGCCCAGGTCAGGCATTTTCCCAGCATTGCTGAGGCAGCTTCCCCTGCTAAGTCCAGCCGCCAGGGTCCCAAGTAACACTTTGCCTGCCATTATTTAGGGCTGTGTTGGTGCTGCCTCACCCTCCTCTCCCTCCATCCTGGTCAAGACTCTGAACTGTCATTGTTGAAATAGCTCTTGCTTCCCCAAGCCCTGCCCCCTGGGTCCCAGGTACTGGCTCTAGTCCATTATTGCTAGGGGCACTGTCACTACCCTGGCCCCACTCCCCAGGCAGCTCAAGGATCAAACCCATCAATTTTTCCCAATACAGGAACAGATGGTTTCACTGGTGAATTCTACCAAACATGAAGAATGAACACCAAGACTTTTTTGATTAATATGGCTGAAAACATTATCAGCGAAATATTAGAAAACCAGATTCAACAACATGTTAAAGGCTCATTCACCATGATCAAGTGGGATTTATCTCAGAAATATAAGGATGGCTCATCATAGTACTGGTATCCTAGCCAGAGCAATTAGCAATTAAGTAGAAAAAGAAGTATAAGATATCCGTATCAGAGAGGAAGAAGTAAAATTATCTCTGTTCACAGATGACATCTTATATATAGAAAATCCTAAAGAAGCCACTAAAAATTGTCAGAAGTAATGAATGAATTCTGTAAAATTGCAGGGTATGAATCAACATACAGGAATCAATAGCATGTCTGAACACTAACAACAAATTATCTAAAAGAGAAATTAAGAAAGTGATCCTATTTACAATAGCATTGAAAACAATAAAATACTTGGAAGCAACTTAATCAAGGAAATGAAAGCTATAAGACACTGATAAAAGAGATTAAAGAAGACACAAAGAAATAGAAAAATATTTTGTGTTCCAGGATTGAAAGAATTAATATTGAGAAAATGTCCATTAGACCCAACATGATCTATAGATTCAGTGCAATCCTGATCAAAATTCCAATGGCATTTCTAATATAAGTAGAAAAATTGTCATAAAATTTGTTTGAAACCACAAAAGACCCCAAATAACTAAAGCTATACTGAGAAAGAACAAACCTGGAGGCATCATGATACCTAATTTCAAGCTATAATGCACAGCTATAGTAATCAAAATAGTATGGCCCTGGCATAAAAATAGACACATAACTTAGTAGAACAAAATAGAGAACGGATACACAAACCTCCCTATATAATTAACTTATTTTGTAGAAGGGTACCAAGAAAACACACAGCAGGGAAAGGACATAAAACTGGATATCCACATGCAAGAAAAAAATGAAACAATCCTTGCCTTATATCACTCAAAAATTAACTTGAAATGAACCAAAAATTTTAATGTAAGACTTGAAGCCACAAAACTTCTAGAAGAAAACATGGGGGGAAAGGTCCTTGACATTGATCTAGGCCAATGGTCGGCAAACTGGGGCTCGCGAGCCACATGCAGGTCTTTGGCCCCGTGGCATGGGCCACGAAGTTTCAACCGCACTGTACGTGTGCGCCCGCACCTGGTATTTTGTGGAAGAGCCACACTCAAGGGGCCAGTTTGCTGACCACTGATCTAGGCAATGATTTCTTGGTTAAGTCACCAAAGCACAGGCAACAAAAAGTAAAACAATTATGACTACATTAAACTAAAAGCCTCCGCCGAGCAAAGGAAACAATAAGTTGAAAAGACAAGTTACAGAATGGAAGAAAATATTAGCAAAGCACACTTCCAAAATATACGACGAACTCAGATAAATCAATAGCAGAAAAAGAAATAATCCAATTTAAAAAGAGGGCAAAAGTCCTGAATAGACCTTTTTCCAAAGAAGATATACAAATGGCCAACAGACATACATAAAGTTGTTCAACATCACTAATCGTCAAAAAGAAAAAAATGCAAAACAAAACCACAATGAGATGTTACCTTACATAAGTTAGGATGTTATGACTCAATTCATAGTACTGTTACCAAGCAGTTCATGTGCTAGATTTGTTTGCAGTCCATACTTTAAGTGGCACTGCCCCAGGGGATGAAGAGACCAGGGTTCCTGAAGGTTAAATGGAGCACAGAGGCCTGCTGGCCAAAACATTCAAACCAAACCCTTACATAAGAGAGACAATAAAAAAAAAATTCATATTCTTCCAAAAAATATTTTAAAAAGGCCAAGAGATAGCAAATGTTGGCAAGGATAAGAAGAAAAGGGAACCCTTATACATTGTTGGTGAGAATGTAAATTGGAACAGCCATATGGAAAACAGTATGGGTGTTCCTCAAAAAATTAAAAATAGCACTTCCATATGACCCAGCAATCCTATTCCTGAGTATGCATCCAAAGGAACTGAAATCAGTATCTCAGAGGGATATCTGCCCACTCATGTTCATTGAAGCATTATTCACAATATGTAAGATTTGGAAACAGCACAAGTGTCCATCAACAAATGAGTGAAGATGTGACACACATATAAACAGTGAAATATTATTTAACCATGAGAGAGAAGGAAATCCTGCCATTTGCAAAAACATGAGTGGACATTAAAGACATCATGCTGCCCTAGCCAGCTTAGCTCAGTGGATAGAGCGTTGGCCTGAGGACTGAAGGGTCATGGGTTCGATTCCGGTCAAGGGCATATGCCTGGGTTGCGGGCTCGGTTCCCAGTTGGGGGATGTGCAGGAGGCAGCCAATCAATGATTCTCTCTCATCATTGATGTTTCTATCTCTCTCCTCCCTTCCTTTCTGAAATCAATAAAAATATATATTTAAAAAAATAAAGACATCATGCTAAGTGAGATAAATCAGATAAATACAAATACTATATGAAATAACTTGTGTGTGGAATCTAAACAAACTGAACATGTAAAGACAGTAGAATGTTGATGATCAGGGGATAGGGAGTGGGGGAATTGGGGAGATGTTAAGGATGCAGACTTAAAACTAGTAAATAAGTAATTTCTATGTAATGCATGCCATAGTGATTACTGTCAATGTACCATATTATAAAAGTTGCTCAGACACTAAATCTCAACTATTCTCAACACACACAAAAAAGAAATGATAAATACATGACATAATAAAGCTATTGTTAGCTAACGCTATTGTAGTAATCATATTGCAGTATATAAATTATCAAACCAACATATTTTACACTTTTAACATACACAATGTTATATGCCAATAATAAAAGAGTAATAAGTAAATTGTCCCCTTGACTGGGAGTTCGACTGGAGTTCAACCAGGGGGTGGGGCCAGCCCGCCAACCGCCTGGGGCCCCTTCCCCCAGCTGGCCCCCACGTGTGCACGAATTCATGAACTGGGTCTCTAGTATCTCAATAAAAATAAATTAATTTAACAAAGATGAATGAGGGACTTGGACTCGGTCTGTGGTTCTCAGAGTGTATTCTGCAGACCAGCTATGATATTCAAGAAGCATCTTTACAACCCCTACCCTAGAACCACTGCATTGGAAACTGAAGGTGGAGCCTAGAAATGTGTGATTCAGATAGACTAGTCACTAGAGTGTAGAAACCACTAGACTAGATCATTTCTAAGGTCATTTTATCTTGGTAGTCCTTGAACTCTGTGACTGGTTTCCCAGGACATTACTTCTTGGTCACTTCTTATCTTTGTAATCAACCTCTACAGAACCTCTTTAGACTACTACTGGCCCTGGAGCAGTGGTCGGCAAACTCATTAATCAACAGAGCCAAATATCAACAGTACGACGATTGAAATTTCTTTTGAGAGCCAAATTTTTTAAACTTAAACTATATAGGTAGGTACATTGTTATTAACTTAATTAGGATACTCCTGAGGCTTAGGAAGAGCCACACTCAACGGGCCAAAAAGCTGCATGTGGCTTGCGAGCCGCAGTTTGCCGACCACGGCCCTGGAGCCTCTCAAGCCTACCATGTCATTTTGGTGGCTTCAGACCCAGATCACCTCTCATCTAGACATATAGCATTTCTCCTCTTTTATGACTTGTCACTTGTAATAGTCCCTTCCAAGCAATATTTATGATACAGGGCCCAGCACAGTTCTGGCAAATGGTAAACTCTATGTAAATGTTTCGCAAATAAATTATATTTTGTCACAGTCCATTCTACATTGAGATGTACATGAAGCACAAGGGAACACTCAAGAGCAATGAAACTCCATGCTTACAGGAAAGGGAAATGGCGAAATGGTAAGATTATCCTAGAAAAACAAATAGAAGAAAAGTGTCAATCAAAAGCAGGAAGAGGTGGCTTTATAGGCAGAGAAGGAGCTAGAGTCATCTGATAAGGTGAAACAAGGGTTGTAGTTGTCTGCAGTGGTCAAATGCAAAAACAGTGGGGTTAAATTGACATCCTCATCAACCCTTTTTTCCTCACTGGAGAAGTCTGCTGTAGCTAACTGAACTATCTCCACAACTGCCGTGTGTGTGTGTGTGTGTGTGTGTGTGTCCATGCATTTATCTACTGAGATTTTCCTTTCTTCTTTTTTTAATAACTGACTTTTTAAGCTGCTCCTCCATGTCCTAACAGAAGCATCTTCCAAAGTGTGTTTCTCTATTCTGGGACCATCAGCCCTTTGTTTTCTTAGCCAACTTGCTTACCCAGGTCACAACACTGCATTGGGTCTAGACAAAGGGAGAGCAGTGCTGGGACCCTGATGCTTTCCTAGTGTGACATTCTCCTTCCTGAATGTTCAGTCTAGATCTTCTATTCAATAGCATATCTGGGGCCAACACTCTCTTCTAGTTCTTCACACCTTCCTTTCTCTTCTTCCACATTCAACCAGTCCTATGTTTCCTGTGGCTTTCTTATGCTCAAGATTTGGATAATCTTCATCATTATGGAGGTTTGGATGGAGTGGCTGATTTGGGCTCTGACTAGCTATTTGAGCCACACCAACTTTTTCTTCTAGGTTATCTACAGCTATGCTGTTTGATGGGGTCTCAACAGACACAAGTAAGCCTCTGAGGAAGCTTCCTGCTTGCAGGAAAGCCCAGGCGTGTGGCATTCAATTACACTCGTGCTCATGTAAGTCCTTCGGCTTTGTGGATAATCAACCATGATACTATTTTTTTTAATAAAGTAGAGCCAGTGAGTCTGTATTTGCTGTTTACAGTAACTACAAGATACAAGACCAAACAGCAATTGTATTTTCAGTTTTACCTTTCATATTCAGTAGGTATTCCTGAAACCAGTTGAAACAACTGACCTTGCAGAATCTGATTTCCCAACCACACCTGGTACAATCACAGGAACTACAGCCAGAAGTCGTGAAATACTAGCACAAGAACCATCTTCCCCAGAAGTCGGGATTAGAATAATATCTTTTTTTTTTAAAGACCTCAAAACCTTTTCACATGGATGGTCTCATTTTATCCTACAATGAAGATGGTTTGGGCCCCCAAGAAATGTGGGCAAGCTTAACTAATCTCACATGTGGCACTGCAGTCTGCATGAAGCATCTGTCCAATGCACTAAGCAGCTTTCACTGAGGAATCATAAATGAAGTCACAGCAGCACACTGTAAGCAGCATATGCTTTTAGGACTGGGGCATTGCCTAGTCACCATCACGGAGATGGATAGTCATTCTGCTGGTGCTGCCCAGTATGAGTCCCTACAATCAGATACTTTGTTTAAATGCAGCTGTCCTCCTCTCTCGCCCTGAGCAACAGGGACCAACTTCCAGTGACCCCACTCACTCTCGGTCGTGACGGGGCCTGGCTCGTAAACCCAGACTGTCAAGTAAAGTGGCTGCTGGGAGCCTGGCTGGGTTTTGCCAGGGCTGGATATCACCCAGTTATCTGCTAAATATATCAGGGCTATTCTGGCCCATTTTCCTTGGGTGAGAAGCTGGTGTTTCTATAAACAAATAAATACATAAAGGGCCAGGAGAATTAAGCACGCTGTCACAGATGGCAGAAGAAAGCTTTCTGTGTGTTTAGTCCCCCAAGAGCCCCTCTTCATTTCACCCTAGGAATCTGTCAAACAGAACGTGGTTCAATACTGGCATCCTGTGGCCAGAGGAATTCATCAAATCTCTGAACCTCTCCCATCCTCGGGTTCGTCACATGCCCTGGCTGTCTGGGCTGAGCAGCCTTTCAGCGTTTTCTGAGAGCTGTCCGGTTGCCTCGCATTTTTTATGGAAGCACCTTCAGTGAGGTGTGTTCTGATCTACCGACATTTCACAGGGCTAATGGGTTTGTGTGTATTCGGGTAAAGAGAAATGATAATACAGAGGCTAAAGAATGTTAGCCACCAAGACAACCGGATCTGTAATCACTGCCCAAGGCTCTCTGGCCTCCATGTTCACACGGAGTTTGTCTCTGACAAGGAGGTGGCTGGGGGGAGAGGTGACGTTCTGGATCAGGACTCCACTGTTTTGTGTGTCTGTGTGTGAGTGTTCTGTTTTGGCCAAAGGCGAGGAAAATACTGGCTACTGCAGCAATAAATACTATGAATTTTTACTTTACTTTATTACAAGAATGCTGCCTAAGAGGAAAATCAAACAAAATTGAGGAAAGGCTTTCAAGGCAGCTGTAGAGATAAAGGGTGACAATGATCGCAGTTTAAACGGCAGAGTTGTCATGTTCCTTGGCGAGGCTTACTGGCATTTTTGGGAACCAAACAATCATTATGGGGCTGCTACATTGTTGCTATGTTCACAAGTGGCTGACACTAAATTTGGAGTCCTTGGAGATGACCAAAACATCACTAGAGACAGAAAAATAACCCCAAACTTGAAAATTACATGAGCAGGAAAACACATCAAAGAAAGATCAAGCATGGAACATAGCAATAGGCATGCACTCGCAAAAGCGTGGTATGAAGTACGCACATGTTAGCCGAAGGAAAGAAGTATTGCAGTAGGCTGGCTACGAACAGGAGGAACACAATGCCTACTACGTGGGAGCAAGCAAGGAATTTGCTCCTTCACAGTGCTCCCTTCTCGATGTGGTCCAACCCTGCGGCTGCCAGCTCTTCCATCCTGCATTCTCTTGGCTTTCTATGGCGCTCAGGGGTTTTAACTGTCTCTGGCCAGGATCTGAGATAGACACAGATCTCATAGTGATGAGCGTTAATCTGTCCTGAACATTGGTAACGAGGAGAGCAATCCTAATGGTAAATACTGTTTACCAAGTCTTGTTTTTTTCAGAATCGCATTGCCTACAAGTGGAAAAACATAACTAAAACCATTCTACAGAAAATGAATGTGATCTAACAAGAAGTAGAGATTAAATGCCCTGCAAGGCGATCAGTGTGCCTGTGTTAGCCTTAAAGAACCTAATTTTCATAGTAACACTTCCTTGGGGAATAGTGTTGCCGGCTAGAAAACAAATTTCAGTATAAATAGTATATAAAAGGTCTAAAGACACCAAATACCAATTAAAAACTAATAAAGAGGAATAGTAGCAAAACTCTATTTTAAATGACTGCTTTCTGAAGGAGTTCGTGTAGGACACTCGAGATTTAATATGTATACCACATTGTTATTTTATTTTTTAGTAGCACTGACAATATTTATAAACAAATTTTACCAGAAATCTCTCTGAACTTTTTGCTGAACTTCAAAAAATTAATTATGGCAAAATAAGTAAATTAAAACAAATGAGAACAAAACTTGTTTTCTAAACTCACCAAACTCACCAGCAAGAACCTATATGCTTCTCGAGTTGTGTTTTTGACCCCTCTCTCTCGTCCCCCCAGGCACCCCATCCAGCAGATGTGGATTCAAATCCTAGCTTAATGGTTTAAATTCTGTACACTCAAAAATAAAATCCCCACTCCCTGAGTCCCAAGTTCCCCACCCAGCTGTAGGAGTAACACCATCTCGCGAGGAATCTTGTGGGGGATTAAGAGAGATGATGATGCGGGGAAAAGGGCTCCCTCGGCAGAGTCTGGGACAGAGGGCTGGGCTTCCCACCGGGGCTGTTCCTTCCTAAGCACCCTTCCTCCTACTGATCTACTATTTTCTCCTCCAACTTACCTGGTCACCAAGCTCTGTGGGCGTTTCCTCTTTAATATCTTTCCTTTCCCTTGGACCCTGCTGACACCCTGAGTTCAGACCCTCCTCCGTCCTCGTCAGGATTACTGAGTCAACTAACCTCTATTCTCTGTCTTCAGCCTCGACTCCCTCTAACCCAGGCTCCCTGCCTCCAGGGTGATTTTTCTAAAGCATAAAACTGCCTGAGTTTGAGTTCTAGCTCTTCTACCTAATATCTATGTGATGTGTAAGAAGTGGTGTGAGTTCTCCCATGCTATAACTCAAAGTCTATAAAATAGAAATAATAATTTTCCTGCCTACGGGTTTTAAAGAATAAATAAGGTCATGTATGTGCTAATCCATAGAATCACACAGTAAATGAGAGCTGTTATTCTTCTCTTCCTTGTTCTCGCTGGTCTTGTGACGCATGTGTGACTTACCATGTCTATTAAATAGGGTGGAGTTGTAATCATGATATTTAAGACCTTTGCAGGTCTCTGCCTAACTCCCTACCAAATCTCATATCACTCATCAAGTAGTCTGTTATGATATAGAATCACTAACCTGCATTCAACCCAGAATAAAAGGAATCAGGTTAGGAAAGGATTCATAAGAGCAATGAGACCGTTTTCAGAAATGCTGATAAAATTCTCCCTATGCAAGCCATTGTCCTAAGAAGTGACTACGCATCCCAACTGAATCCTGCTCTGAAAGCCATCAGTGGCTGCACCTTAAACATCCTTCCACTTTTCTTTCTTCCAGTTCTAATGGAAACGCAATAACGCATTCACACTAGCAGCTGTCCCACTTATAAATTTGAACTTTAAGAACTGTGTGTCATGGGTGTACACATAGATGAGTTTTCTACAACACGGTCTATAAAAAGGTTCAGAGGCTTACCTGACAGTCTCCTAAACCACTTGGGCTTCTTGTCCCAGATAATAAAGAGATAGTATGCGGGGACTCCAGTCAGTGTGAGGATGAAGCCAATCCCCGTACTAAAGGGGTCTGAATAGAGGGAGAGGGCAACCATGAAGAAGCACGTGAAGGAAAACAAAGCTGGGATAAACAGCGGCACCTGGAACACAGCACAGAAAAAAAAAATCACTTTTAACACAGTGCAAGAGATGGACAGTGGTCCAAGGTGAGCCCATCAGTCATGACATTGGGTGACATACACAACCAGAGAGATAGAAACATCAATGATGAGAGGGAATCATTGATCAGTTGCCTCCTGCATGCCTCTACTGGGGATCAAGCCCACAACCCAAGCATGTGCTCTGACCGGGAATAGAATCATGATCTCCTGGTTCATAGGTCGATGCTCAACCACTGAGCCACGCTGGCTGGGCAGTAGCGAAGTCTCTTTAAAGGACACAGAGAATATATTAAACACTAGCAGCCCGATGCACGAAATTCTTGCAAGGGTCTTGGCCCACTCAGCCCCGGCTTTGTCCGGAAGGTTGTCCGGAAGGACATCTGAAAGGTTGTTTGGTTGTCCAGTCTAATTAGCATATTACACTGTTATTATTATAGATATTCCCTTAATTTAAAAAAAAACTTTGGATAGGAAAAAACTCTAAGGATAAATAAGTGTGTTTCATTATAGAAGTCCTGATTTAAGTACTACTATAATTTCTGTTTTTGGTATTAAAAGATGAGCTCTTTGATAATTATGATTAGAGTCCACTTTAATGTGGAGCTAAGACCATGGGCTGCTAGTTACATCTTAAATCCTTTCAGGGAAAATTGATTTTCTGTTGGAGATTCATAGTAAGAGAGGACAAGAACAAAACAGGCCAACTCCTATTCGACCTCTAATAAAGATGTTGCCAGGATTAGGCAATGAATATAATTAGAAACAAATTCTGACAATGTAACTGACAAACTGATCTGTTATTTCTTCAAAGCAAATGAACAGTGAGGCCAAATCAATCTCTGAGCATTGGAGGCTGAAAGAGACAGGTAAGAGGGTATTTTTCAACCCGCCCCAAAGGAATGCTTAGTTATGGGAACTGTGCTTTCGATTAAGTGGTAAGTTCATACACCTTCGCTTTCCCTCCATATTTTACATTTTTATTCCTTCTGGAGTGTATAATGTAGAAAAAAAGAGCAATGTAATAAGTCATAACCTTTAAAAATACTGAAAATGCCTATTTTGTACAGCGGCATCCATTTTAGAGTTTTAAAGAGTGACACAAGTCCATACGTATTGGCATCACTCTTTCTCAGTCTGGCTGTCCACAAATGTTCAGCATAAAGGCAGATCAGAGTATCCCATGCTTTGAATTTATCAGGTCATTGGACATGTCATGAACAACCAGCATAACAAACATCCTCTATTAATACCACCTCTTTTTAAAGAGCTCAGCACAGCACATAAAACAATGTGATGAACTATTTCCCAAGGGAAAATCAGTCCAATCTGAAGGCACTGCCTGCAACAGTTAAACACCTGATGACAGAGGATGGTGCCCCCGCCCGCCCAAGCTCCCCATCATCAAGCTATGACAAAGGGAGGACTAGGTATTAGGAGAAAGATTTATGTAAACCCATCAAGATTGCTGAGGTTACCTTGAAAGGACGATGCATATCTGGGCGTTTGTATCGAAGATAAATCAGCCCAGCAACCGCTAGCCCAATAAAAAACCACCTGGCAAAACTGAGGAAATTCAAAAGACTGTAGAGGTCCCCAGAGAAGAGCATCACCATCGTCAAAGGATACTGCGAGGAGGGGGACAAAACCACACTCGGTGAGTTACAGGGAACACAGGTGATAGCGAAGCATCACATACCTAGACATTCTTACTGTCCTTTTCAAATGATTACTTAAACTACCGTGTTGATGAAAACCTAACCTCCTTTCCATATTCTGCTCTTAAAATCCCTTTCGATGCCAGTAACAGAATGAGAGGGCCATCGTCCCTGCCACTTATTGAGAAGGAATTTTATATGGATGTTTGGTGTTTAGTTGCTTTTACATTGGACTGAAGAGACTATATTTTCAAAGTCACAGTCAGTGACTGAAAATGTAAGGACCCAGAGGTGACTAATAAATAATAATCAACATCACAAGTGTCCCCTCTTGGGGAGTCTGCAGAAAGCTCTGCCAGTGGGGTCTGCGTCGCTCTTGGCCACGCACACATGAAACACGGGCCACTTCTCAGTGCCTCTGCCAGGCCCTGAATGCAAAACGTCGGCCTCTCCTTCCTCCACGCTCCCTCTCCCCGTGTGTTCGCCACGGGTGACCCTCAGGACCGCACAAAGGAATGCGGCGCAGAGATCAGCACAGGGAGTCTCTGCCGCGCCCGCCGAGGACAGCATGACTGATCGCAGAGGCTTAAAGCGAAGCCCTCTTCACGGAATAATACATTCTGCTCCCACAAGTGACCGCTGCCTTCCGGATTCCTCACACAGAGTACTGTGTACTTTACAAAGAAATTTCAAGGAAACATTTTCAAACAAATTAAATGCATGGAGAAGAAATGTTCCATGAATTCTGGCAGCAGATTGCATTTGAGAAAAATGTTACAAAATGGTAGGTACAAAGGGACCATAACATTGCCAGTGGGTGTTTGAGGACTGTTACACCTTACGCAGTCTTTTGTATCCCAGGTACTGGTCTCGGCATAAAGAATCCTACAACCGAAATTTAAGTTTCGGTGCTTTTATTTCTTCCCTCTAGGGTTGCTCTCAAAGGTCTCACTTTTAATCACTGAATCACTGCACTGTCTAGAATTTCATCGTTGCATTTTCTATAATTTTGTGTGGTTTCATTATAAGGGGCCTATGCGACATCTGGGTCATTTTGGACTGTAGTTTTTAGCTCCACTCTCTGCACTTAGAATTGGGATTTATTACTCTGCATCCTTTTCTACCAGGTCCTTTGTCAATGGTAGGAGCCAAACTAATTTCCCTTCCACCTCACTACTTTCTACAAAGGTGAAGAAAAAGTGATGTGGCTCTTGCCCCATACCATCAAATATGCATCAGCAATACTGAGTCAAGGGAAGCAGCGGAAAACACCCTGCCTCCCACACGCTGCCAAGATCTCCATAGAGCCCATTTCTCAATGAAGGAGAAAGTCACGCACTCTGATGTCTGGGTGAGATCCGCTTTGCTAACCTGCTATTAGAGGTTATAACGAGAGACACTTGTTAATGTGCATTACCAAAACAATAACAGCTGGCAGAGGAGTGTGCTTGCGGACATGAATCATGGAGAGGATTTCTGGAAGGTGACCCTCTCGAGACGCAACATAGAATAACCTGGTGGGAGAAAAACAGGGGTGGGGTTGACTGCATAATTGATCATAGCAGGGGGGAAAATATCCCAGAACCCTAAGATAAAACTTGCATCTTTTTCATCCCAAATGGTTTGACATTTCTTAGATGATTACTTAGATTTCACTTTTCAGACCATCATGAGAAGTCTGTCTCGGAATTTTATAAAATCTGCCAACTGTTATATTCTTCTTTGAGAACAATAGCCACATCTGACTCAGCATGGCTCTCCCTACATATAAATAGCTGATAATGAATTTAGTTCTAGGTTCCAGTACTGTAGGTGTGCTGTCTATCCAACCAAAACAACACACACACACACACGCATGCACGCACATGCACACACACACATGCACATGCACACACACTCTGCATGCACATGTACATACACACTGTGAACATGAATAAAGGAAACCTCATTTAAAATAGAGTTGGGAGGGCCTGAAAGGGCCTCAACAGAAAGAAGCCTTCTTCACTCCCCCAACAGGAGAAAAGACATTATCTCCTGACCCAGCAATAACCCAGCTGGAGAGAAGCCACAGCAACCCTGAAATCCCACTCTATTCCAACGGCCTTTCCATCAAAACTCCACGCCCAACGACTTCCCTTCCTCTGTAAAAGCAAGCCCCTCTCCTTTGTTCTCAGGATGCTCCTGTGGTTTTGCCATAGTTTGCACGTTCTGAATTGCGATTCCTCTGCTATTTCCGAATAATCTCATTTTTCTGGTAAACAACTGGCTATTTCATTTTTAAGGATGACAACACATCTAACATTCATATTTATCTGATTGGGTTTTAATCTTCTATTAAAACAAAAGGTACTTTTACATCAAAGAAAGCAATAGGGATAGAGATAGGGTGAAGTGGTGATTTCTGGCATCTCTTACTTTACTTTTTTCTTGTCACCTTTAGAGAAACAACAGATTTTATCACCAGAAATAAAATGCTGTTGTTAGACTCTGTAGACATACTATAAAAAAAATGCCACAGGCCCAGCTTCAGACTCGGCTATGAGTAGAGGCGCAGTGCCCTCTAATGGGCAGAAGGAGACATGCTGTTGCTACTTGGACAAAGACTTCAATCCTGCCTGTCCCTTTAAAAACAACAGGTTAGGAGGCACTGTTTCTTTGTAAAGTCATCCTTATCACATCCAATCTCAAAAACAGAAATACATTTCTGAAAATGCTTGAACTCACTCACCTGGAGACAGCAAATACACCCCCATTCATGGAGCCAAAGCAGGTGAGGGCGACGCAGATGGGAACTGCTAATGAGAAATTTCCCAGGAGCCTCTCAGCAAAGGTCTAGTGAAAGACAGAAGGACGCGAACTAGTGCTTTGCCGGAAAGTGGAATAAAGGAAACAATGTACGCCAGACGCGCTCTATGACTCTCTGTTAGCCTGGTGATATGCGTATGCTTTATAACCCTTCTCTTTGGTTAGGGTCAGGCTAACTCCGTAGACAATAATCAAAATTAGGTGCCATGGCATTGCTTGTTGCAAAAATGTGGGCAAAGGTCTAAACAAGTACCTATTCTTTACTTTCAAAAGGCAACGATCCATTTACCGAATCTTTATAAACTGTGGCCAAAATCTTCTATCATTCTGGTAAGTGGAAAAAGCTTCTTCAGAAAAATTTCTGCTTTTGGAGACAGAAATCCTTTTGCACAATACCTTCTCTTTAGCCCAGAAAGCCACATTTGGATAGTGAAGCATAAATGTACACTGAGAAGAATGATGGACACTTGTTTCATATACCAATCCCACCGTCGTGATGTAAAAGTGTGGCAGAAAATAACTGATGACTTAATCACAGATATCATATCTATGAGATGTTCTGAAAATCTTTTTCCTAGAATAATCACATCAGCTGAATCTGTGTTTATCAAATCAATTATCTGGCAATTCCTTCTGTGTTTCCCATGCAAAGGCTAGACTACAAATACAAGTCCAAGGAAATCAAGCCACAGAAAAGACAACAGATAAACAAAACTTCCGAAATTTCCTTTTATGCCATGACATAAAGGCTGTATTGTAAAAAAAAAAAAAAAAAAAGTGGGATTCTTTATTTGTCCTTGATGCAACTGGTGCTGTGTAATTAATGGACCACATTACGCTCGAGGAATAAGTGCTGCCCTCTCTCTGTCCAATAAGATGAGATGACTGGCCGGACAGCAGTAAGCCTTGTACATGTGGGTGTCTGCTAGAACTTACAGCACTGGCTGAAGCCTTTTTTAACTGCAGTGAACGCATACATAGGTTCATGTGAAATGAGGTCATTTTTTCTCCATGGATGTTGCTGATATGAGGTAATAGTGACTATTTTTAAAGGAACTGACAGCTAATGATTGGAAGTTATTTTACCCCCCTTCATTGTTATGATGTCATAAGTGAAGGCTGTCTTACTACCTATGATTTTTTACAAAATAAAAGTATGTGTCACAGAATAACAGTCCCATAGTACGACCTTTGGGAGCAAAGACAGTTCTGAAGTCTCATAAATTGTGGAAAATGTAAAATTATGAGTATCCACTTTTTAAGGAATTAAAAATGCACATTAGCATTTTATTATTCTGAGAAGTGCTACAGGAATGATATCTGTGAACTTTGAATAATTCATTATTCCCCCAAATTAATAATATCCCATGACTAGTATTCAAAAGGATATAAGAGAAAAAAACAAACATATACGGTCAAGTTGGAAATTCTTGAAGTGGTACTTTGGGAAAAATGTTTGAAAAGTTTACAAATGGGAAAGAGTACAGAATAATTGCGATTTGCATACCCCAAACTGCATTCTTTTAAATTCTGCCTACCTGTCCTTAAAGACATGTTGGAAGACTGTGTATATGTGGAAATGTGTTTTCAAGCATGTATATGCAGAAATGTCTTACATGACATTAACACTACAGAGAAATCATATAGGATTTTAGCTGTATCAGTTAAATGGAATATGCTAAGGTGTGTTCTAATTTTTTTTAAGATGCTCATTATCATTCAGGTCAAGAAAAGATTACTGAATTTCAAAACCCTTTTCTGCTGGAAGGAACTAGTATAAAATTGCATCAACTCATTAACCTAAATTCAAATTGGCATTTCCCCAACTTGGACTTACCACTGCCACTGCATTTGAAAGCAAGAGCTCTTCAGCACTAATGGTCGTAAAGTAGGCCACATTCATTAGCACATAGCCGATGGTGACGATGGCCATGGATATACCTATGGCAAGGGGGATGTTTCTGAAATGCACAAAGGAATCGCTTATTAGTCATCTTTCGTTATTCTTTTTCCAAAATCAAGGACGATAGGCTAATTCAAACAAAAAATTAAATGGTAGGTATGATCATTATAGGCTCTGTTGGGTATGCATAAACATTTCACTGGAGTGAGGTACCTGGGGGATTCTGATGCTGCTGTCCAGGGGGCCACACTTTGAGAACCATTGTCCGCTACACCTTTCAAGTACTAATTCGCTGCCTTTGCACCTTTCTGATACTAGCTCCCCAAATGATCTTTCACATTCATGGGATTTTCCCCTTCAGGAACTTCCCTTACCAGAAAATAATACTTCCAAAATATTTTTTGGAAGTCTGAGAGCAGGAGATAGCCACCTTTCTAAATGATAGGAGTAATAATTTTGCATAGAACACAAAAAGCACAGAAGTGCTCACAATAATGACTTTGCATGGCCCTGCTGCGAGTTCAAAGGAAGCTTAAGATCATGAATGTCTATTAAAGCAGCAGCGAAGATAATCCCATGAAATCAGAGGTGACGTGCTGGGAAGCACATAGGGCCGGACGGTGCTGACAGGACGCAGCATCAAGAAATACCCAGTGCAAATGCAAGGTTATGTCTTCATTTAATGCACTTGGAAAGCCAGGAAGTTACTGACCCCAATAATTTGATTCCATGTTACCGATACACATTACTTGCTTCACATAATCACCTCTTCAGACTCTTTCCCGTTCAAGCAACTTAAACCTTCAGCTCCCTGCGTAAAGGCTGATGGGTTTTCTTTTTTTTGGCCATGGAACTTATCAGCCCTCATGGAGCCTTAACCCTGCTGATGTCACTAATGAAGACCTCAATATAAATAATTTTTTCCAAGATGAAAATACAGTTCAGAACCAAGGGGAAAAAGGGGGGCGGGGGGGGCGGGGGAGATACAGCCTGCCTCACTCCCCAAGCCAGGCAGGTTTTAGCACGCTAAGTCCCAGCTCATTATGCTAAAGAGTGCTGTAGAGAACAGGCAAACCTAGCCAGCCAGCCTCTGCCATTCATTATGCTGCTTGGAGCCTGGCACTCCCCTGGTCCCCAAAGTCTTAAGCCTTGATGGAGAAACACATTGACCTCTAAATCCCGGCATCCCGTTAGGAAAGGAGCAGATGCTTCCTTTCCCCAGTGCGGGGAGGGTCCTGCGGAATTTCCTCTTAACACAGTCACATGCGCTGCCAGTTGTGATGGATAAATGCTCAATTTAAGCAAAGGAAACCAGCAGGCCAATTAGATACAAAAGAGTGAATGGCACAAGGCCAATTAAAGATGAGTTCTGCTTCTTTGAAAGAAAGGTTACATGGAAATGCAAAGGGGAATGAAGAGGAACATGAAGGCGTATAGACAACCTTTCAATCACTCACTGAATTGTTATAAACTTGAACCCTTTCAGCTTTATAATGTGCCCACATGGGATGCTAAGTTCTTTCCATGGAGGAGAGAAACAGGAAGAGGGGAAGAGAGACTCTGTATTCCTTGAAAGAATAATATTAAGAAATGAAATTAAGAAATGGTCAAGCAATGAAAAGGTTCTGGTAATAAAAAGTGAGGTGACTTATGGTTCAGGGCAGTGAAGCGACCTAACCGCCCAGGACAGGTAGTCCTGTCTCACCACATGATGCTGCAAAACAGTAGAGAGAAGTAAGTATCAAATTTGGGCTGTGGGCTCCCAGCATGGTAGCCAGAATGCCAGCTTCCCCCTCTGTTTCCTGCCTGGGGATTATGGTGCTTCTGAGAAAAGTTTTCTAAATTGATCTTAACAGAAGGGTTCCTAAAACAACTAAACAAAAAAACCTAACTTTCCAGGTTAGTTTTTCCCCCCCTCAGCTTGTCAACAACAACAACAAAAACACCAGCAGCTGTTGCCATTTATGTGGTGCCTGCTATGTGCTTGACATTTTATTGGGCACATTACATGTTTGCCTGATTTTATCCTTGGAAAATCCTGCAGGTTGGAAACATCATCACTATTTTATATATGAGGAAATGAAGTCTTAGAGAATTTAAATAACTGTTCAAGGATACACAGCTGGTAAGTGGAAACAGAGTTGAGCTGCAAGGTCTCGCCTACCTTGAAGTCAAAGCATTTTAACCACTAATATGCACACACTGTCTCCTGTGTGTGGATCCTCAAACACTGACTATTAATTTTCAGAGAAATCGTAATTGCTGAATATAATGTTTATTGGAGAGCTCTTTTCAAGGCTGTGTTTCTCATGCAGTCACTGAGAATGCAGCTGCCATGAATGAGGGGAAAATACTTATTCCATGATTTCTACAGTTTCCCTGTGTAACATGAACTATAATGTATAGTTTCACTGTTTAGGTAGTAGATTTTCTTTTTAAAATTAAAAAGACAATAGAGGCTAACTTAATTAATTTTGTAGAAAAGAAGGAAAAGCAAGCATGCTCGTCAGGTAAACTGAACTAGATGAACAATTTTACTATCAGCTGAATATACTAGATAGATATTAGGGGGAGGAGGAATCAAAGGAGCCTAAAGTATGTGACAAGAGAGATGGCCTAACCTTGCTGCAATTCCTAACACACCTAGTAATTCCTCTCCAAGTAAAATTAAGCCCCGGGAATGGGAAGGGTTGTGGCAAAATAGGGAAGGAAGAGAGGGAATCATGGCTGCCTTGAGTTATACAGCAATCAGGAGTAAATCAGTTGATTTGTTCAGAAGGGCTTGGCATGCAGAAGGGCTTTAGACACAGAGGGGAGATAAGCATGGTTAGTAACCCAAGATTAAAGCAAATGATACATGATAATAAAAGGAGTTGCAGGAACTGCTAGGCCACTGATGTTTCACAGCCGCTGTGTGACTGGGAGGCAGCCCCTAATTCCAAGAGCAACAAAACCATCATCTTGACACTGAATAAAAATGACTTACACCTATGAGGTCTACTCTTTCTCAAGTATTTGCGAATGTTTGTTCTGATTGACAAAATACAAATGTATTGAAAAGAGTCACTTAATCCTTAAGAGCTTTTTGTCATTATACATAGTCTTTTCAAGTAACAGGCATTACGTTTGTGAGAATATGGTATTTTTCATATTAGTTGCAAATGGTCTTCAATCAAAAGGTCTTGAAATACCCTTCTCATAGATTTATTTTGGATTGGTACCAATGACCAGTCTATGTCAACAAATATCTATGGATAAATACTTGTTTCATTTGAAATTATTACATAGAGAAGTCTGGAAGAGCCGCTTCAGAGCACTTTTATTCTAAGAATCCAAATGGTCCCAGTAGTAATGGCTCATAGTTTACATTCGTATAATCTACAAAGCACTAGCAAATATATTTGATCTTCAAATCTACACGTCATTTCAGATTTTTGTGTGGAATGGGCTACAGTCTGAATAATGAATAAACAAAATTTACAACAAACCATTGAAATAGGAGGTAATACTCCCATTTTCAAACAAGGGATCCAAGGCTAAGAGGGGTTAAGTGACATGGTCAAAGTAATGAAAGCAGTCAATGGAAGGGCTGGAACTTGAACCTAGACCTTCCAGCTCTCAGCTCCACATCCATGATATATCTTATCATATCATGGCTGCATTGTACCTACTTTAACTCTATGTACAAGGTCCCTAGTACCCTTACATGTTGACAAACAGGTATGATATTTTATATAAGTGACACAAATATCAGATTGTTACAATGTGACATATTTCAAGCCAAAAATATTTTCCTACATAGCTAAGAGTCATCACAAATACACATGCAGCATGGGTTGCATTTTTCATATGCTTTGCAACTATAATAGATCCAGGAAAAAACATTGTTCCCAGGGCTTCATATTGGCTAAAAAGACTTGGTAGGGAAGCAGAATGAGTCAACCTAGCGTGGTTCTCCAGAGAGTTGAGCACAACTAAAGGTTACAGGGATATCTGATATGCGGAACATATGAGTAATTCCATAATTACTTGAATTTAGGATCCTACTAACATTGTTTTATAATCTGAACAAAATCTTCTGAGATTTGTATGAACCAAAATAAGTTCCATACAATCCCCTGTGTTGGACACACACAATGGGGAATCACAGAAGTCATTGATCCTGGGGCATCTAAAATTGTCTTTGAGCCAGGGGGCTGGCCATGATGACAATTCTGTTAAAACCTACTCTAGGGCCGAGGTCGGCAAACTGCGGCTCGCGAGCCACATGCGGCTCTTTGGCCCCTTGAGCGTGGCTCTTCCTAAGCCTTAGGAGTACCCTAATTAAGTTAATAACAATGTACCTACCTATATAGTTTAAGTTTAAAAAATTTGGCTCTCAAAAGAAATTTCAATCATTGTACTATTGATATTTGGCTCTGTTGACTAATGAGTTTGCCGACCACTGCCCTAGGGTATTTGAGTATTCTGAAATCTTTAAGACAAGTTGTTGATGCTTCACACTTTCTATTTAAAAATCATTAATATTTTAACACATGTATTTGTAATCAGGAAAAAGGAGGGAGGAATAAGAGGAGGGATTCATAAGGATAAGAAAATGCCAAACTTCTTAATATGTGAGATACCAAAAAGAAAAGAAAAGAAAGGGAAAACAGGGTTTTTCAAAGTATTTTTTCAATTCTGTAAGCAAACTAGAGACTATTTGTTTATATATTGAAACGTAACTGTGATTCATCTCAACATAAAGTATTTAAAATTACATTAAGTATCTTTTGATTACAAGTATTCATTTTAGAATCATACTTATTTCACATTTTCTTTATAATGACCCAAAGGAGATCTTGAAAGCTTTCCTTTATATCTGACCCATAAATTACTCGAGCATGTCTCTTTTTTACTTATAATTATTTTTTGCAGAATTACTGTTGATTTTATATTACCACTGCTGTTAATTTTATCTCACTCCTCAAAATTTTGTCATGTTACAGACAAAAAGATAAAGTATATATCAAAAAAATTATCTATATTTTTCATTCATATGATTTTTCTTCCATACAT